GTCTAGCTGTTTCTTAAAGTCCTACCTGTCCAACACCGTGAAACTTTGTAGTTGAGAAGGGGAGGCTTCTAGATGGGGACCCGCAGGGCTCTAGTCCCTGTCCCCGGGCCAAGGAGTGCATACGTGGGAGAGACATGTAAAATGAGTCTCGGCTCCCTTGTTTTTGAGTTCGGGTTTCATATCACTCAGGCTAGACTGGCCTCAAACTCAGTCTGGTGCTTACTCTCTGGCCTCCACGTGAGTGCTGAATGTACTCAGGTGTCTTACAGACATGCACCACCACATTTGGCTTCCTATCTTTCTCTTTCCTTCCTTGGCTCCAGGCAGATTTATTTGCTCTTGAGGAGGCTGGAGTGGCCTGTCACTAACCCAGACCTCACAGACGGCAGACTCAGTTTCCTCCCTCCCAGGCGTTTCTTATTTTTACTTTTCTTACGGAGTTAACTGTTTCCCCCAACCTAGGAAGACATTTTAGTCCTCAGCACTTGGGACCCCATCCCATTGCTCATCTCTTCTAGTTCTCAGGGTAGGCTGGACTGGAAAGAGGGCAGGGGTTAAAACACCAGGCATAGCTCCCGAAGTTTCCTCTCTGCCCTTCTCTGCTTGAACCTGTCCTGCTCCTCATGGCGGCTTTCTGGTCTGACACCAGGCTCCACATTGGTCCGCTGCAGCCTGGTGTATTTCTTGTTCAGAGAACCAGTTATGTTTTCTGGGCCCCCGAGAGAAACTGCTTTTACTAGCTACCCATGTGCTTAGCTTTGGGGGAACAAATGGGGATTAGCAGGGAGGTGGGACATGGGATAGTCAGGACGGCTTTGGTCTCCGGAGACTGGGGAACCTTCACTTTCAACAGCTCCTAAGGTCCATGTATAACCTATGACCTTGACCTTCAAGGGAGGGAGAGTTAGTTAAAGGTGTTGCCCGGGCAGAGGGTTCCAGGTCTGAGACCGGGCACTTGCTTGCCATCAGCCTCATGCATTACACCAGGGGAAGGACAGTTTTCTTTAAAAATAGAACTACATACTGTAACAGGTTTTCTATTCCAAAGTCTCACCACCCCTGTTGGGCTCTGTGCTGGATCACCCTCTGGAGAGTGACCAGCCCTGATGCTGGACCCCCAGTCTCAGGTAAATAAAATAACTCAAGACACTCAGGAACAATCCAGAAAGGGAGGGGCTGGAAGGAGAAGAGATAAGAGTCCCAGTGAAATAGTCCTGAGGGAGAAGATGCTCCCTGGACTGTAGCCTCAGGCCCTGTGTGACATCACAGATCCATGCCTTAGCCTTTGCCCAAAAGGTCTGTTCCTCTTCAGAAGCAAAGCTGTATAATAACTGTGGGTGGCTATATTTCTTGTGTGGGTCTTGCACATTCACAAGTCATAGAATGGCTTTAGTGCGCAGTCTGGTTATTTCCTTGCATGATGGACATTGGAACTGAGCCTCTCTGGGCACAGTGCCTCCTCTCCACCCCCTGAAAAGAGAAACCTTGGGGGTGAGAGTCAGGATGAATTCAAAATGTTGCCTAGTGATTCCAGTCTAGCTGGAGGCTGATTCTGACTTCATCTGCTATGGACTATGGTCAACAATCATCCCCCGCCTTGCCTTCCTGGGCATTTGTCCTCATCACCATGTGGTTACCATCTGCCTGTGGTTGGCGATCACTGAGACGGATGGTTGGTGGGTAGAGCCATGATGGGTAGGGCTTGGCGGAGAGGGCCAATGGGTAGAGTGGAAGGTTGAACCTGTTGCATACGATGACGGGTAGGGTAGAGGATAGAGGCTAAAGCCTGGTGTTCTATGAGTGTGTATAGCCCTCTACCTCATCCTCTCTTTTAGAAAGCCCATCCCAGGACAGGCTATCTGGTTCACCTTCCCTAGAGTGGCACATGTTCTCTGGCCAGAGATAACCAGAGACCCCCTTGCCTTGCCTACAGCCACAGCCACTTAGAAGCTCCAGGAGAGTCCTGTTCGGGCCATTCAGATTTCTGTGAGATGCTTATATTTGCTTTGTGGTGGTGGCGTGGGGGGGGTAATCTCTTCATTTTGGGTCTGGAACCACCAGTTCAGACATAGGACACCCGCCATTTTCCCAATGGAAGAATGGAGACAGTGTGGTAGTCAGAGTCCAGAGAGACAGTATACCAACCCATGTCCTTGGCGTTTCTGGATCCAGCCATGCCTGAAGTCTGATTTATCATTTGACAATTTAGTTACATGAACCACTTAGTATTCTATTCTTTCTTGCCTCTTGCAATTGAGTAAAGCGGGGGGCGGGGGAGGGGAGAGAGTGTGATAGTTGGCGTTCGGAGCCTGCCGGGGGGTCAAGCTCTCCCCTTCAATAGAAACCCACCTATGCTACCCTGCAGTCACTCCTCAGGCCCTGGGGTGTCAGGCTGGGTGTGGCAGTTTTGTGGCTGAGGCTGTGATAACAGGGTGGTCACCCTGGGATTTCTTGGCGATATCCTGAGCAGACACAGCTATGCTATAGACACAGCTATGTGGGCAAAGGTGTGCCTAGCCTTCAAGTTCAGGTCCACTAGCCTTGCCTAGAAAAGGGCTCCCAGGCTCCAGAGAGTTAGCTTGGGCTTGGGAAATATGCAGCTCAGCAGAACAGAGCCAAGGACACTGGCTCGCCTCCCTCTGATGATAAGGCTGAGGCCTTCCTGCTCATGTCCCTGGTCAACCATACCAGTGTCAGAAGATGCAGATGGGAACACCTGGGTATGCCTGTGGGCTACGTGAGTGTGTGCAGCACATGGGCGTGCAGATGGGAGCCCTGCGTGCAAGGGATACTAGTATGGCTATTTGAGTAAATGTGTATGAAGCTACAGGAGGTGAGAGTTGACCGATGGTGCCGTACGAATGTGTGAGTGTGTGTGTGATACCCTAGCTACACAGACTTGGTTTGTGTGGATGCAGGCTTAACCCGGAGATGGTGGATGTGACACGAGGTGGCCATGGAGAGCTGTAGCCTTACTAGTGTCTTGTTCTCCCCCTTTCTGTGTCCATCCGTAATGACTCAGTCGCTGTGTGGCTTTGCCTGCCTGCCAACAGTCATGGGTTCCCCGTGTAAAGTCCTCCTCTGCTCACAGATCCTGCTTGGCAGGAACCAACTCTGTGAAGGGACGCCTCCAAACGGTGCTGCTGAGAGTCAGGTATGAGTGACACAGGTCTGTCACCTGAGGAAACCTGACTTCAAGGCATGGTGTGCCATGTCTCTTGGAGTGCCAGTGGGATAGAATTTGGTGCCCCAATCCTCCCAGACTTCCTTCCCCTCCTTTCACTGTGCCGAGGCTACGTCCCTAACCAGTCATTTGGACAGTATGGCTGTGCTCCAGGATCTGGTCCTGCTTCCTCCCATCATACCATCTGGATGCTGAACCATCGCATCCCATCTCCTGGGGATTCCAGACGCATCACTGTTCTCTGGAAAGAGAAGAGTCAGACTCCTTGTAGGATCCTGCAGTCTCAAGCATGGTGCCCACAGCCCATGGAGTGTGTGGATGTGTTTAGAATGAGTGTCAGTGTACTCTGGGTGGGAGTCCACACATGGCTGGAACCATTACCATGAAGGAGGAGGAGCCCCAGAGTGGAGCATTGTAACATATAGAACAGAGGAGGAAGGGTTTTGCATATAGAGAGGAGAATATAGCCAACAGGAATTCCCAGAAACGGGGACTGAGGGGGTCTCCTCTAGAAAGGGAGTGAACAGGTTCAATCTCACGGAACGTCTCAGTGGCAGAAGACAAGCCCAGGATCCAAGTGTCAAGTTCAGCATACAGCTCTGAGTGTCCCATGGCAGTAGTTTCCCATTCTTGGGTGGACTCTGTGACAAGGAACAGTGGCGGCAGGGAGCCAGCAGGTGGCAGTGTGGGCTTGAGTGTGGACAGTGCTGGCCGGCAGACCTACATTTCTCCAGCAGGGACATGGAATTTCCAGAAGGAGCCCGTGGGTCCATCTCACAACTTCCCCCCCTCCCGCTTGTGTAGGATGACACCCCAATTTCAGGGCGTGATCTTGGGGGCTCAGCCTATGCTAGTGCACTGAAATTCTAGTGAAAGGGAAACATGTCCAAGAAAGGAAGGCAGGTTGCCACTGTAAAGAGGTCACCGGGCAAAGCCTCCATCTGAAGGGCGATAGGAAAAGGGAGCTTTTCTGCAGAGGGAGGCAGAAAGCATATTTCTGTCTGCACACCATTTCCTATTTTTTTGGCAAGATAAGCGTTTGAAGTACAGAAGGCCAAAGGGTGGTACCTGGTGTGCTTGGAATCAAGTTCTGAAATCGGTGGCTCGTTGTATGCACAGTAACATCAGAGAGGCCTCAGAGAAATCACACCAGGTTTCACAAAAAACGTAAGACGGGGGCTGGGGAGATGGCTCAGTAGGCAAAGCGCCGGCTGAGCAAGCGTGAGTTCAGGTCTCCAGTACCCCAGAAAATGCCATATGCAATAGCATAGGCTGGGAAGTGGAGACAGGAGGTTTTGGGGACATGGCTAGCTAGACTAATAGGTGTCTCCAGGAACTAGAGAAGCAGAGGGTTACGTAGCAAAATCTTGTTTCAAAAAACAAAGCAAAACTAACAAAAGCAGAGGAACGAAAAAGGAACTCCTATAAAACTGACTTGGCAAACACCCCTGGCTACCCGGGCACAACCTGGCCTCACTGGCTCAAACCTGAGGAGTAGCCAGCTGGGCATGTCAATACTCAGAGGCAGATTTAAGATTGTGTCCACTGGGGCTGGAGAGAAGGCTCAGTGGTTAAGAGCACTGACTGCTCTTCCTGAGGACCCAGGTTCAATTCCCAGCACCCACATGGCAGCTCATAACTATCTGAAAATCCAGTTCCAGGGGATCTGATGCCGTCACACTAATGCACATACAATAAAGTTAAATAAACCATAAAAAAGATTGCTTCCATTTAGGGGTTCCTTTCCTCTCAATTTGCAGCCATCGGGAGCCCCAGTGCACGCCTTGAAAGTTACTTCTCTCTGCATCTTTGTTGATATGATGTATTTATTTTGAACACAGGAAAGATACATTGCTGCTTATTCAGCCTAATCCAGGAAGGAGAAAAGCTGTTCTGTAGATCCCTCCAACATGATGAGTAGGCAGGGATGTTTTTCTCCCCTCCCCAGCACTTTCCAGAACCACAGAAACAGACGGCATTTCCTAAAAAGCGTCTCGTCCCTGGGGTGCAACTGAAAGGCGATACAGCACAACAGACATATTTCTGCCTAGAAAGCAGAACACCAGCAAGGTGGGCAGAACTGCTTGTAAACACGGTTCCCTCTCCCAGGTGGAGACTGTGACTCTAGCAGGCTGCTCACAGGATGCTACAGAAACGGTGGGTGGGTCCCTTTCGGCTCTGCATCAGAATAAATGCTATTTCTATAGAAAATAGAATTCAAGATAGCCGTCCTTGTCACCCTCTGCTTAAGAAAGGGATTGCTGAATTTTCTTAGCCCTTCTTTGGAGAAGTTGAAATGTGGGAGGAGGGTCAATGGGGGTGGGTCTGCTGCTTCGGGATGAATGACAGACAAAAGGTGGGGAGTGGGGGAGGCAGGGTGTCTTGCTCCCTGCCAGCGGCAGTGCAGCAGGACACTCCTCAAAGATGCTTTGCCATCACCTTGGGCAATCTGGGTCTTCAAAGATCACCTCTGTCACCTTCTATAGTCTTTGATGGAGTTTGCTGGAGTTCGCAGGCCAGGATCTGAAATTGTCTCCAGCCAGCTGTCTCCACGTACCTCCTTCTGCGACAGGATGCTGGCAGCAGACACTAGTCTTCTCAGAGTGGCATGGTGGTTCCCCCCCCCCCCGGTTGGGGTCCATATTCCTTTTATTTTTGTCTCTGCATATGTCCCAGAGAGATAAGGCCAGGATTCGTCAACTCAGTCCCCAGCAGTGAGTTGCCACCCTGGATGACAGCACTGACTCTTAGATCAGCTTAAAAGCTCTCAGGCTCAGGCTGCCAGGGCTGGCTGGGCATTGTCTGAGCAATGGGCATTCTGTGCCCCAGAGTAGTGTCCGGGTAGCACTGTGTTGAGACTACTCATACCTTGTTTTCCTTGGACTCCCAGTCCTGGTATGGGCATGGGAGGAACCGTGACCCTCCTCCATGACATATGCCCATGGGCCTGTCCTCCCCCTGTACTTTGGGGTGGGTGTCTGAGCTAACCCACTAGCACCGCCAAGCTGAGGACATTGAAACAGCAAGGGGCTCAATGGGCTGTGAGGACCTCCAGGTCATGCCTAAGCCACCAGACCTGTTTCTCCACCCTGTAAGTGGCGGGATGGTGACATTGTGGCTCTTCTGCCCTGGAGTTGAAAGATAGGCACAGTGCGTAGAGGGGCCTCACTGGGACCTGTCTGAGCTCCCAGTGGGACACGCCCCAGGGTGTGTAGGGCTTGTGGCAGCAAGTGGACCAAGCAGTTTCTGCAGGAGAATCAGATTGTGGCCACAGCCTAGAGGAAGCTGGGGAGAGAGAAGAAAGTAGGGCTTCCTACCTCACCTCTGCCCAGCGCTGTTCAGAGAGGCACTACCACCAGGTGCAAGGCTGGGGTTGGGGGAGAGACACCAGATAGGGGACACTTCCTCTAAAGAAAATCTTCCCAGGTAAGTTTTGTAGTAGTGGGACCTGTGTCTATACAGGTGTCTCTATGTGTGTGGTATGTGTTCGTGTGTGCACTTAGGGTATGCCAGTGTATGTGTGTAGTCATATATGCATGTGCGCGAGTTGTATGTGCACCTGTGTGCCCGGAGGAGACAGGGTAGCCTTGAAGGACCAGTGGGACTTATGGGCTGGGTCACTCACACAATCCTCTCAGGACTGGCAGTTGGAGCCTGGGTTGGGGTGGTTGAGCCCTGGGAGTTAGCTGGCTGTGGTTCTGGTCCTGGCAGCGGCAGCAGGTCAGATGGGGAGCCTGCTCCACACACAGCTTCGTAAGGTGGCAGCGTGTCCATGGAGACAGTGTGGAGGCCACTCTGGCCCTGGGTCCTCTGCTCCTGCTGATGTTGGCTGTGCCTGCTGCCTGAGTCCAGGACGCCATTCAGCACGGGGCAGGAGCCGGTCAACGAGTAAGGTGGCGGTGCATCCGTGGGGATGTACAGCTGAGTGGCCCCTGGTCCCACGCACTCCTCATAGCTGTGAGAGAGGAGTTTTCACTCAGGGGTTATGGATCCCAAGACTTTAGGGCAAGTGGAAGAATCTGTTCTGTGTGGTGAGGCGCTGCCCTCATTGTGGAAGATGGCTGGCCTCACACATGCTGGCTCCTATGAGACTACACCTGTCCCTAGGGAGGACGATCTGACACCCTTGAGACCCGGGTCCTGGGTCGACTTTACCTCACATCCCGTGTGAACCCAAGCGAGTCCCTACATCTCTCTCTCTCTCTCTCTCTCTCTCTCTCTCTCTGGGGGTTTTAGATTCCCTGGAGCAAGAGCAGCCACTGGATAGAACCAGGCTGGGCACTGTGAACGGGCCAGGAAGGACCCCCTGAAATGTGTCCACTGCTGTCTTTGAGGTTTAGGTAGGAGCCCCTGGGACCCCTGAAACCATGGCTGTAAGGCTAAGAGCATCTGCTGCTTCTCCTAGCTCCCCTGGTGGGAGGGAAATGACATGTCTGCCAGACACAGGGTCTGCAGTGGGAAGTGACAGGACTCTGACCCTCTGCTCTAATGATGGTGACCGCTTCATCACTTCACAGTGATGCCCTAGTGGAGGCTGGCCATGATAATTCCTGTCCCCGTGGATGGGACTTGGAATCTGGGGCTCTAGAGCCTCACTCGAAGAGCAAAGACCTAGTGTCCAGCCAGCTTCCTTCTAAAGATTTATTTATTATGTATAGTGTTTTGTATGCATGCATGTACACCTGCGGCCAGAAGAGGGCACCATATATCATTGTGAATGGCTGTGAACCACCATATGGTTGCTGAGAATTAAACTCAGGACCTCTGGAAGAGCAGTCAGTGCTCTTAACCTCTCAGCCATCTCTTCAGCCCCCCACCAGCTTCCTTCTATGCTCCTCCCTTGCCCTTACACTGCCCCTGAGTCTCCTGGAGCAGTAGACTTAACTCCTTCAGGCTCCACAGTCTATTTCCTTGTGCAGAGAAGGATGGGCCACCCAATTTACTGGGTTTCTCTTGGTGGGGAGAATTCACTGTGTGTAGTTGAGGGGCATGGTTCAGAGTGGGACCAGAACCCTATAGCTTCTGAGGGTGTGCTCTGGGGACAAGCCCACCTCCATGTCCTGCAAGGAGTTCAGCTGCTTTAGACTGTATGGGGAAGGAACTGGGCTCTATAGGGTGCCCCTCTGTCCTTGTGACCCATATAAAATACAGGGCCAACAGGGGCTACTTTGATTGACGTAGAAGCTGCACAGGGACGGAGTCTATGAGGGGGATCTCTGTGAGTCAGAGCTGTCTAGGTTCATATCAGACAGGGGTAGGCTGATGAAAGCCTACCTGCCCGGGCTAACTGAGATGGGGACCCAGACGGTCTAAAGTAAAAGGGTGCAGAAGGCAGGGACAGGATTGGAAAGGCAGGGCTGCATGCACACCATTGACACCCAGCAGATGATAGGGGCTAGCCAAGCCTGAGGACTCTGTGTCTGCCCCTGCAATGTCTGAGAAAGACTGATCTCGGGGTAGGCATGGATTCCTGGGGTCACAAATAGAAGCACCACAGATTTCCCCCCTAAATGACACTGATTCTATAGTCATGTTCTTGAACACCCCACCATTCTCACCTCCAGGGAGATCCCTGGAGGGACTTATAGGGGCTCCCCAAAACTATAAGACTCTCCTCCCCACCACCTGTCAGCCTGAAGAATCCCAGCTGGTCTCTGTAGTCCCTCCTGGTGACATTTCCTGAGTCATGTCCATTCTCAAGGGGACTTGCTTGGTCAGAGAGCAGAGGCTGTAACCATGTCCCCTGGGATCCATTTGTATTTACACATGGGGAACTGAGGTTCTTTACATGGGTGGGAGACCTTTTGATTCAGAAAGCCCACTTCTCCCCGCCCTCCACGATGAGGCCTCCTTACCCTGGTGGGGAATCTGGGTACAACTCCCTGAGCACTGTGACATCCACATCGCCATCAGAGCTGATGTCCAAGGGTGGGCGCCAGTCCTCAGCAGGGCTACAGGCGTAGGGCATCCTGCGGCTGGAATGGCTGTGCATGTAACTGCCAGAAGCTGCAGAGAACAGAAGCATAGGTAGCGCTAGGGACTTCCCTCACGGTAGCAGTCTGTCTGAGGCTCGGAAGTTCCTACATGACCCCCACCCCCTTACCAGGGGAGACAGGCTGGACCTATCCTGATGAGCTTCCAGGATGGATGACAGCTTAGCCCAGGGCAGCCTTGGCACTCACGGGGTGGTATGGGCTAAGCTTTGATGAGTTAGAACCGGACAGTGGGAGAGTGGGAGAAGAGACATGTGCTCAGCGCACACATGACTCCAGAGACTAGTTCCCACTCCCCATACAGACTTCTTATTCTCAGTCCAACAGCAATGGAAGAATCTAGATCAGGAACCACAGCCACAGGTCCAATTCTGGGATTATTCATGGGGACCGAGAAAACACTCAGAGGAATATATTGCAGACACATCCATTCATTATTGGCGGCTCTGCCCATCTGGCAGGTCATGACCCTTATTCCATCCTCCACATTGCCTATATTTTTAAGGTTTTCTACAATAAGTGCATATTACTTTTTCTACTAGGAAAAACCCCCAATAACAGGCTGTGCAAAGGAGCTGAGCCGAGATTTATTCCCCTTCAGGGTGTTGGCTGAAATATGAGACCTTTGGAGCCATGTAGGAGAAAGCCAGGAGAGACGAGACAAACAGCGGAACGGAAGCTAGGCGAGGACCACTGGGCGCTGGAGCTGGGGTCCTGCACTGCCAGAGTTGTCCAGAGGAATCTCTGGGCTCTGGTAGGGTGGAGCCACTTGCAGAGTTGGAGGTTGCTGCACCTCCTTCTGCAACGCCTCCCCACTCCCAGTACCCCGACTTTGGAACTGTAGTTCTCACTCTGGCTCCAAGCCTTGCCACAAAGACTCATGAAGATCACTTCTTCCACGGCCTCTGGAAAACCTTCTTTGTTCTGGGTGCAGGTAGGGTGAACCACATGCAGGCCCTGCTCTTGTGGATGCCGCCCTGTGACTGAGGCTGGAGGCGTAGCTATGAGGGCAAGGAAGAAGGGGTTTCCCATGTCATTTTCCTGGTGGGGATAAGGAGGGCTGGAGATGTTTCCCGAGGGAAGTGAGCAGCCTTGGAGCCAGGCCTGGGCAGCTTCAGAACTGCGGTTGGGTAACAGGGAAAGCATGATCGAAAGGGTGGGTGCTGAGGGAGCAGTGTCAGGTGCATGGAGGGGGCAGGAGGCGCTGAGTGGGAGGAGCAGGAGGGCATGAGGGATGTACTGGGTCTACCTAGCACCATCCTGGGGTGAAGGATAGTTAGAGTGATACCTGGACTCCACATAGGTGTATAGGTCATGTCTGCCTGGTCTAGGCTCTACTCTTGTCTGCTAGGGAGAACTTAGCCCCTGGGGAGACTCGGGGCCTTGCCTGTCCTGCTGACTTTTCTTCTTAATCCTAGCTAGTTCGAAGCATGTCACTAACTGGCCATCTTTCTTCCATTGTGACAGATGGCACCCCTCCCAGCACTGTCTAAGGTCTGGCTTCTTGCTTCTGTCTAGACTTGCCCAGAGGAGCAACATCTAGGTCTGAGGGCCCTTGGTGTCTAAGTGTCTGTTGGACCTAGCCCTAAGTCCACAGTACCCCTTTAGGACTGTGTGGAGGTCGGTCCGAGTGCACCCAGGTCAATGGCCAGGGCTCACATCTCTAATCTGCCTCTTGCAAGAGGACGGTCCCAGGTCCATTGCTCAACTGCTCCAATCTCAATTTTGGATCAGCAAATCAGGGATGGGGAACAGAGCTAGTGACTCAAGATGGAGGAGAACTTTGTATCAGATAATGCAAAGGAAGCTCCAGGCACCCGTAGGTGATCTTATCCACCGGTCCTGTGTCAGCTTCAGGTGTCCCTTAACTGCTAACAGGTGGCCCACCCCAGCTGACTCTTCCTTGCTCCCAGGTTCCTCCTGCCTTGGATGGTGAAGGCCTTTCAGGTCTCACACAAAACTTCAGCTACAGTGAGAAACCCCTCAGCCCCACACCCTATGAATCAAGCCTGCCTTTTTTCTTCACAACTGGGGGCAGGCGGGCTTTACGCTGGGTAGTGGCCCTGGCTGCCCCTGCGCAGACTCCTGTGGGCCTTGTTCCTGAGACATGGAACACTGTCTCAGAAATGGACCTTTCTGCTTCATTTAGATCATTGGTGGTCTCTGTCAGGAATGAGACAGTCAGGTGGCCATGTTCTATAAAAGTCCATGCATTCTGACATGATGGACACTCTGGGGACTGGTCTCTCTGCCCCATAGTCTCCGCTGTGTGACAAGATACCCTGAAATAATGTGTTCTTTTTTCTTTGTGGGCTCTCAGTGATACATTTTCACTGATCGTTCATTCCAACACCCACCCACCCATCTATGCATATACCCGCTCATCCTATCACCCTCCGCCTGGGCCTTCAGTTCTCATTTATCCATCTTTCTACCCTTACTCACCCGGTCCATCTCTCTCACACAAATATTGCCACTCAATCCACCTATATATCCACCCTCCTGCTCCCCATTCATCTATTTTCTCATTGGTCTATCCATCATACTTATTTTTCCATCCATTTATCCACAGGTCTATGCATTTAATCCCTTATGCACCCAGTCCTCTGCTGGCCTACTCCACCCACAAATCCCTCTCTCTGTTCATTCATTTATTCATCTGCCCATCTTTCTATTCATTCATTTTTCCTCTCATCCATGTCTCCACTTCTCCACTCACCAACCCACCCACCCCTTTCTTATCCACTACTCATCTACATTACTTCTCCCTATATTTATCCACCCATCCACCTATCTCTCCCTGTATCCATTCACCCATCCACTCACCCAGCCTTTCATCTCTCT